AGGAGGCACCACCTGCTGCCACTGAGAAATCAGCTGTCTGGGGCTCTTGACCACATATAAACGGAGACCATGCTAAAGCCTGAGGAAAGTGTTGATGCTTTCCTATGCAAATCTTTGAACAAAGATCAAAACCCCATGCATCTGAGACTTTATGAAGAAACTACGTTACTAGTTTTACTTTGAATTACTCAAAAAGAACCTGGTTTCATGAAGAATTCACCGTGGGTCCAATTGAGAGCATTCTGTTCAGGAAGGAATTGGGAACAATTGGGGTGGGGGAGTGATGTTTCTCCGTCCTCCCTCCTTTTTTTAAAAATTTTTAAATTTTTTATTTTAAAGATGGGGGGTACAATTCAGGGTTAGGTATACAAATGTTCATTATGCAGGTACCCTTGTTGATGAGGTGCACCTCCCCTCACCTGGCAGTTTCCCATTACCTCCAATCCCTTTTTTATAGTATTACAGTAATTGTTCAAGGTCTACTTATGAGGAAAACATATGGTACTCAGTTCTTTGTTTCTGTGATAGATTACTCAGTATTAGCTTCTAAGTCCATCCACCTTGCTGCAAGTTCATAATTTTATCCTTCTTTATGACTGCTAAAAAGAAAAAAAAAAAAGCCCCATTAAAATGTGGGCAAAAGATATGAATAGACACTTCTCAAAAGAAGGCATACGAACAGTCAACAGATAGATGAAAAAATGCTCAGCCTCACTAGTCATTAAAGAATTGCAAACTAAAACCACATTGAGATACCACCTAACTCCAATCAGGATGGCCATCATCAATAACTCAAAAACAACGGATTCTGGACTGGATGCGGCGAAAAGGGGACACTTCTACACTGTTGGTGGGAGTGTAAACTAGTACAACCTCTGTAGAAAACAGTGTGGCAGTTCCTAAAAGATCTAAAAATTGGCCTTTCATACAACCCCACAATCCCCCTGCTAGGAATATACCCAGAGGAACTCAAATCACTCTATAAAAAAGATACCTGCATACACATGTTTATTGCAACATTATTCACAATAACAAAAACATGGAACCAACCATACTGCCCATCAAAAGAGAACCGGATTTTTTTAAATGTGGTACATATACATGATGAAATATCATGTATCGCCCCTCTTAAAGACATTTCTTTGATTTTTGAGGTAGGGTATCACGCTGTCACCCAGACCGTAGTGCAGTGGCATCATCACAGCTCACTGCAACCTTGACCTCCTGAACTCAGGAGATCCTTCCACCTCAGTCTCAAGAGTAGCAGGGACTACAGGCATGTTCCACCACACCCAGCTAATTTTGTTTATTATTTGTAGAGATGAGGTTTTGCAGTGTGACTCAGGCTGGTTTCAAACTCCTGGGCTCAAGCAGTCCTTCTGCCTCGACCTCCCAAAGTGCTGGGATTACACACATGAGCCACCGCACCTGGCTAAAGACAGTTCCAACCCATGAAAGAAAGCAGTCCATGGAAGTCCCTGGAAGCCCCTGGAAGCCCAAGGCTATGTTGGTTGGATTTACAATGTGCTTAAAAGTGTCTGCATTATACGTGGGTAACAACACAAAGACTGCCTTCAAGGTATTTAACCTCTTTCTAGCAAACCAATATTAGCAAAGACAGACTGGGATAATCAGAAGCCTTGGGATTAGCCAATGGTGTGAGAAAAAGATAATTCAGATTTTCTATATATAAGTTTAAGGTGGCAAGAATGTACAAATTATTTGTAAGTAAAAGTTTTCTTTTTAGTACATGTGGTTTAATGACTAATTTACAAGTAGAATACATTGTCGTCTTATTTCTATCTCTCCAAATTATTAATTAGGTCCTATTTCATAAGATATACAAGTAACTCTGTGAAAAGGCTTTTCCCCAGATGAAATAGGTCAAACCTGGGCCAGCATCTCCCTAAAGAGGCCCACTTGCCTGGTAGCACTTACCAGAGGATGAGACAGAGGAGTGCTTTGGAGAAATGAGAAACTTGCCTAGTACTGGAACAAAGTTCAAACCCTTAAAGTCATGGAAACGCCCTAAATCAGGTAGGTGTGGTTTTGCCTGAGGATGACTTGAAGACCAGCTGAAACTCCAAGGTCACAATGATTACCCGGCACAGGCTACAGGCAGATTTATTTATTTATTTATTTATTTATTTGAGTTGGAGTCTCACTCTGTCGCCCAGACTGGAGTGCAGTGGCCGCTCCCGGCCACCGCAGCCTCAACCTGCTGGGCTCCGGCGATCCTTCCTCCTCAGCCTTCCAAGTAGCCGGAATTACAGGCATGTGCTACCATGCCCAGCTGATTTTTTGATTTATTGTAGAGATGAGGTCTCGCTGCCCAGGCGGGTCTCAAACCCACGGGCTCAGGCAATCCACTCACCTCAGCCTCCCAAAGGCACGGGATTACAGGCTGAGCCACCGAGCCCGGCTTACAGGCAGATTTAAAGCCAACCAACCGTTAGTAAGAAACAGGGCAAGTAAGAGAGAGGTCTGCTTTCTCCCTGGACTGGCCTGCAAGAGCAGACTGGGTGACTGAGATCTGACCCAGTTCCAGGGTTGCTGTTTGCTGACCCGCACTCCCAAGTCGGTGTGCTCTGATTCCCCCAGAAGGTGGCAGAGCCCGAGTGGGGAAATGGACAGGTGTCAGTGCTGAGCAGTGGCACCCCACCACATATTCATCTGAGTGGCCGGTCCGAGACTGATTCTGACACCATTTCCCCAGGATGCTAAACAATGTCAAGGAGGAAGTTGGGTGGTTCCCATGGAGAGGGAAGTAGCTTCTTGTCTAGAATGGTACCCTTTGTGTGGCCTGCCATTCTGTTACCAAAAAATGCATCACTCCTAAGTAGGGTTAAGGCTAAAGCTGGGATGCTGTGGTTGGCTGAAAAATGCCCCCAAAAGACATCCGCATCCTAATTCCTGGAACCTGTGAACATTTCCTTCTATGGAAAAAAATGGTGGTGGGAGGTTTTGCTAACATGATTAAATTAAGAATCTCGAGATGGGGAGACTACTCTAAATGAACTGAAAGGGCCCTGCCGCGGCCCATGAGGCTCCTTGAGGGTCCCGAGAGAGAGAGGCAAGAGATTAAGAAAGACACAAGCCGGGCTCGGTGGCTCAGCCTGTAATCCCACGCCTTTGGGAGGCTGAGGTGAGTGGATTGCCTGAGCCCGCAGGTTCGAGACCCGCCTGGGCAGCGAGACCTCATCTCTACAATAAATCAAAAAGTCAACCGGGCATGGAAGGCTGAGGAGGAAGGATCGCCGGAGCCCAGCAGGTCAAGGCTGTGGTGGCCGGGAGAGGCCACTGCACTCCAGTCTGGGAGACAGAGTGAGACTCCAACTTAAAAAAAAAAAAGAAAAAAGAAAGACACAGACATAAAGAAAGGCTGGGGCCAGGTGGGACACTTTCCTCTGATGGAGGAGAAGTGACCTTGAAATAGCTCAGCATGTTTATTTTATAATTAAGCACAAAGAAAGTTGGAAGGGATTCAAGGTCTGTGAAGGAGCTATAACGGAATTTGTTGTCACCTAAAGGCGAATTGTTTCGCAGTTATCTTGTTGTGGCTAAGGCTTTATTTACACTGTGTGCACCTGGATGTGTGGACATCTGAGACACCGTTTCGTGTAGCAGGCTATATCCCTTACAGCCTTCCTTTGGTTAGGATGCAAAGCTTCCAAGCAAGACCTTGCCTACGAGCTTGGGGCTATTAAGTGAGACCTTGCCTTTGCTTGGGCCTTAACTCAAGGCCTGCTACAGTGACAGTGCTCATCTGCTCTCCACATCGCATCTGCTCCCGACAGAGCCCTAAATGCCATCACAGGCATCTTTGTCAAGGAAGGCTGAGGGAAATTATTTCACACCCGTAGAGGAAAATGTTATGTGAAGATGGAGCAGAGAGTGCTGAGGATGCCGGCCTGGAGACTAGTGGGGCCCAGCCAGAAGCCAAAGGAGGCCAGCAGCCTGCAGAAACCAGGAGAGGCCCCACTCTGGAGCCTCCCATGAGCCTTGGCGTCGCTGACACTTTGAGTTTGACCCAGTGAAGCGGATGTCAGACTTCCAGCCTCCAGGACCGTGACAGAATAAATGTCTGTTGCTTTAAGCCACCAAATTTGTGGTCATTTGCTGTACAAGAAGTGGACCAGGACCCAAACGCACAGACACAGAAGCCTGCAAGGCACACCCCCAGCGTGTACCAGTCACAGTGGGTGTGTTCCCTCCCAGGACCCAGGAGTTATTTACTTTGGGGGCCTTTGGGTGACTCTGTCGCAGACCCACGGTTCTCAAGACAATCCCCAGTGCCCAGTGGGGAGCCACTTGTCCCCTTGCCCTAAAGCTTCAGAGACACTCTTGGAGAACCGGAGTGCTAACAAATTGAGACTTGCAGTACAAGGAGCCACGGAGGTGTTTCCCATTGTGGAAGCCATCTAAATCATGACACACAATGACAAGCACCACTGAGAAGTAGAATCCAGATGATTTTTACTATCTGGTTAGTTCCATGACCCCATTTTACAGATGAGGAAACTGGGGCCCAGAGGAGTTACTAGACCCGTCATGAACCAACCTAAACTAGAACACCTAGCATGCATTCTCAAAGAGCAGGGCATAGAAATGCCCCGAAAATGCCTTCTATCCCAAGGCCAATGTTAATTGAAACAGAAAAAAAAGAAGTGGTACATGAAATTGCTTGTGGTGCCTGGCAAATTAGTTCGGCAATTAATCGTGTTCTGCCTTGTCGGTGTTCTATGTTGCTGTCGTTTTGAACTGTCTTTTAATTGTTTCGTTGTTATTTAAGCTTTGGTTTGCTTATTGGCTTATTGCTCTGAGATTGGGCATTTCTTCAGGCAAGAACTGTGGGCTGTTTATCGGGATGTCACCCTTAACAGTGGCTAGCAAAGGTCTTTACTCTTAGCTGGTGTCCATTAAACATGTATTTTATTTCTAGTCCTGTAAGAGCCTGCAGGCTATTTTATGGGCCCTGGTGTAATTCCGTTTTCTTACAGGTGAGACCACCAAAGCCTATCAGAGGCCACCCGTTCCAGGGACAACTGTACCACCGGTCACTCTGGCACAGGTTCTGACTGTCACCGTGGCCGAGGCCACCCACACCACCTTGCCAAGGCCATTCCCATCCACAACGTCTACCACCAGCAGCCCCAGACCACAGCCCGCGGGCCACAGGAACCGGGACACGGGTCAGTAGGTCGCTGTGTGCTAGGAACTGGGAGTTTGGGATTTTAGGGGCACAGCACTGTCGGAACACCTGGGCTCAGTGTTCATCTCCGACCTCCAAGATGGGTGGGTGGGGAGCCACTGAGACCTGGGCCCAGGCATGTGGCTGTGTCCTCCCAGATTCAAGGAAGGGTCTAGACAGAGCTGCTGTCGGCATGCTTTTGAAGGTAGCATACTACTTACAACTGTCCCATTGCAAAAATCCCCATTCCCCAAGCTCTGTGTTGAAGTTATGGCAAGTTTCTATGTCAACATTGTTGGGGTTTGTTGTTTTTGCTGTGGTTGTTGTTTTACTTTGAGTAGAGTCTCTCTCTGTTGCCCAGTCTGGAATGCCACGGCATAATCACAGCTCACTGCAGCCATGGGCTCAGATCAGCCACTGATCTCCTGGGCTCAGGTAATCCTTCTGCCTCACCCTCCCCTGTAGCTGGGACTACAAGCATGCATCACCATTCCTGGCTGATTTTTTACATTTTTTTGAGAGACAAGGTCTATGTTGCCCAGTCTGGTCTCTTACTCCTGGGCTCAAGCAACCCTTTCATCTCAGCCTCCCAAAGTGCTGAGATTATAGGTGTGAGCCACTGCACCTGGCCTATTTTTGTTTTTTAAGTGACAAATGGTATACACCTGGAAGTCTTCAAATATTAAAAGCAAAACCAAAATAATCCTGTTAGGAAATTTCAGAAAGTCAAAATGTTGTTTTGTTTTTGGATTGCTTTTACCCATTTCCTAAATTATATTGAAGCATGTACCAAAGTCCAGTTTATGGAATTAATATCAACACTACATCAGACAGGGCCCTGAGCACTCATCTAAGCATCCAATCTACACAATCTACACTGAGTTTCCACACAGGCTTACATCTACACCATCCTGGGCTAATAAGCACCACTCTTATTTCTAGAGCTTTTCTGGCAAGGGGGTGAAAATTCTGCAGCTGGAACTTCAGGATTGTCCCAGAGGTGCTTTCTGAATAGTCCCCACCTGGTACCACTTTTTCCTTTTAGGAGGTGGTGCCAGGACTTGTTTTTTAGACTCATCTTCAACTTCCAGGCCTTACTGCCCATATTGTGGCCCTTCCCGGGCTATCCGTGCATCCAGCCATCCATCTGTCCAGCCATCCATTTATCTATCCATCCATCCAACCATCCATTCATCCATCCACCTATCCATTCATCCAGTCATTCCCCCATCTATCCATCCCTCCATCCCTTCATCATCCATCCATCCATCCATCCATCCATCTATCCATCGATCCATCCATCCATCCATTCCCTCTACCCATCCATCCATCCATTCATCCATCCATCCCTCTACCCATCCCTCCATCCATTCATCCATCCATCCCTCTACCCATCCCTCCATCCATTCATCCATCCATCCATCCATCCATCCATCCATCCATCCATTCCCTCTACCCATCCATCCATCCATCCATCCATCCATCCATCCATCAGTCCATCCATCCACTATTCAGCAAATGCAAACCAGCATTTAATGTGTTACACACTTTTCTAAACTCCTTACAAACATCAGCCTACTGAATCCCTCATAAGAACCCTATGAAGATGTGTTACTTCTAGTTTGAAAAGCCCATTGAATTGATGGGGAAACCAAGGAGTAGGGCGGTTAGGACATGGGCCCCAGGTCACACAGCGGGGAAGTGGCAAAGCTGGAATTCAAACTCCAACAGCCCGGTTCCCTTCTGACCTTCCTTGCAGGGAGCAGTCCTGCCCAAAGCTAACACCCCAAGCCCAGGCACAGCACACCTCGACATGGTTGGGGTGGCAAGATTAGGGAGTGCTAGACCCAGTCAATCTCCGTAATTAATAATAAACAGCAGAGTGAGCCTAATCCATGCATTCTATGCCAGACACACTCGTGTGATTTTATTTAATCTTCTCAATGACCCTCTCTGAAATAGGGATTATTATTATTCCATCTTATAGAAGATTCATGGAAAAAGCTGTGATGTAAAGTCATAAAATAAGAATACCAAAAATAAATTTTTGAGGTTCAGAAATACATCAAAGTTTCCTCACTATCTATTCTTGTTTAATTTGAGATCATATATATATATTAGTTTGGGCCTCATTCTGGCACTCAGACTGGAGTGCATTAACATGATCATGGCTCACCATAGCCTCAATCTCCTGGGCTCAGGAGATCCTTCTGCCTCAGCCTCTAACTCAGGATCATATTCACCCGGGTGCACAATACCTGACAGCAAAAGAGAACCAGTTAGCAAGGATGCTGGACAGCATCCTTATGGATGAACAGGGGTCCCAGGGCCGGAAGTTTTTCTTTTTTAAAATCTTGACATAAGATTCCTTGATTATTTCCAAGATTTTTGAGCATCAGAGTGAACTGCTTGCCCCTGATGTCTCCTTAGAAGACACCGATTCTTATATAACACACACAATTAAACATGTGGCCTATTTACTTGGCTACCCTGGGAGCTGGAAGTCCTGCTGCAAGCTGGGCTCTGCTTGTGGAAAACCTCAAGAAACTTGAAGTAGTGGCTCCCAGCCTGGCGAAGCTTCATTATTTCTGGCTTGGGGACAGGGGCTTTGGATAAGAGCCTCCCAGCCCATCAGTGTTCCTTCTTCATCCTTGTCCAGCACCCGCTTCCATCAGCCCCCCAGGCTGCTGGACGAATCTTCGGGCAAACACACCGTGGCAGGCGCCCGTCTTGCTGGGACAGGAGCCAAACTGGGGGTTGGAAGGGGGAGGGAGAACTTTTTAAAAAGTGTATTGCCTACTCAAAGGGTTTTCTGTCAGCATGAGAGGAAATAAACATGGAGGTGTAAATGCTTATGTCTTTTTAAAATAACAGTTTTGTGGAGAAACTTCTCCATACAATTCACCTATTTAAAGTGTCCAACTCAATGGTTTTCAATAGAGTCATAGAGTTGTGTGACCATCACTGCCATCAATTCTAGAACATTTACATCACCCAGAAATAAACCTCATACCCATAAAAGCCAACTCACCGTTTCCTCTAAAGCCCCTCCCCAGTCCTGGGTTACCACCAATCGACTTTCATGAATACCTGCCTTAACGTATGGTTGGAGATAATTGCTGTGATATTTTATCCCAGCTATATGAAATCATATTTTATATTTAGATAACTCCATTTTTTCCTTCAAATGAGCTGAAAAGAAGGGAACAACTCTCTTTATACTGCTAATAGACAAGTGAGTTATTGTTATTACATGTATTAAGGGTTTTCTTTTCTCTCTTATATATGTGACTATAGGCAAAGGATTCTAGAAGTGGTCATAGACCCCATGTCCAAGCAAAATCTAATTCATGTATTCCCTTAAAAGATAGCTATTGAGTGCCTACTACGAGTCAGACACTGTTCTAGGATCTGGGTTCCATCGGTGAACACGTCCCACCAAGATCCCTAAAGCAGGTCACTCAGCTTGGACGTCTGCAAAGTGTGTCACTCCCAAACAGGGGTGACCCATGTTTAGGGCCTAGGATTCGTTTTTACTCTACAACGATGTAAAGAGCTACCTCTCGGGCAGACTTAGGAACTTGGAGAGAGTTCAGTGGAGAGTGGAAAGTCCATAGCAGGAAGAGACGGGCTCTCCTAGCCCACACAGAGGAACAGATGCAGGGAGGGGGACTCCAAGGAAGGTAGGGTTGGACACCAAGGCTACACATCATGGCCCCTCGACTGGCCCACGAACATGCAAACCAAGTCAAGGCTGGGGTCAGGGAGCCCAGATGCCAAGCAATAGAGACTTCTCCCAGGAGCAAGAGTGATGCTGGCATCTTGAACTGAGGTCAAGGACACAGGCATCCCCAAGGCTGGAGGGAGTAACCTGGAGAGACAGATCTATAAATACACTTAGGAAAGAGTTCTGGAAAAGGTGGGAAATCCCCCCAGGTCCAATTATAGGTTTGGCTAACACCACACCAGCTAGGAGGAGGGGCATCTGTGCCCTCCACTGGTACCCTAATCAGGTTCTTTTCAAGAAGTGCCAAGGTGACCTCAACGGATTTAGCATTCAATGTGTCCACAACACTGGTGGTCAGGGAAGAGTGCCTCTTACTGGCAAGGCATGATGGCTGTGGTCATCATCTCTCCACTCTTGTTCCCACCCTCCGACCAAGGGTGGCTAGGGGGAAGGAAACTGTGAAATTTTGAGATCGACATGTCACTGCCCATTCCTTCCCCATGCTGTTTCCCTTCTCACCAACATTCATCTCATCTGTGAAAGTCTAACTTCTTTAAGATATCTAGAGAAGGTTTCTTAAAATCCAATCATGACTGGACACAGTGACTCACGCCTGAAATCCCAGCATTTTGGGAGACTGAGGTGGAAGGATTACTGAGTCTGGGAGTTCAAGACTAGCTTGGGCAACATAGCAAGACCCTATCTTTACAAAAAATTAGCCAGGCATGGTAGCGATCACTACTCAGGAAGCTGAGGCAGGAGGATTGCCTGAACTCAGGAGGTCGAGGCTGCAGTGAGCTGTGATCTGATCTTGCACTGCAGCATGGGTGACAGAGTGAGACACACACACACACACTCCAGTCTTACAAATAGTAAGAAAAAGGCAAATATTCCAAAAGAAAAATGGAGGAAGGTCATGACCAAGCAAGCCACAAATGGCCAAGAAAAAAAAATTTTTTTAAGATGTTCAACTTGCCCAGGATTCAACTAAGTGCACATTAAACAACAAAATGTCATTTCTCACCAATTCACATTGGGAACTGATAAGGCACAGATTTGGCGAGAGTGCTGAGAAATGACCCCGAATTCACACTTAACGGAAATATATCCTAAGGTAATTATCAGCCAAGGCTGAGAAGAAGCATGAACACAGATGTTCTTCATAATAAAATATAAACGGAGATGATTTCATTGTTTATCACTGGGAGAACAGTTAAAGAAGTAACGACACAGCTATTAAGATGTTGATGAATACGTGCACTTACTGGCATGAGAAGCTTGGCCTGGGGCAGACTGTTAGTCAAGGGCGCAGGCTGCCAAACAGCTTGGGAACAATCTCATTTTTGTAATTGTATGTTGTACATGAGAGCGTGGACCTAATGACTCTGCATACCACAAGTGTACACCGGTAATGCTGGCCAGAGGGTGAAAGGTCACTGCTGGCCAGGTGTGGTGGCTCACACCTGGAATCCCAGCACTTTGGGAGGCCGAGGCAGGAGGGTAGCTTGAACCCAGGGGTTCGAGACCAGCCTACACAACTTAGTGAGACTTCATGTCTACCATAAATCAAAAAATTATCTAGGCATAGGGGCACATGCCTGTAGTCCCAGCTACTTGGGAGGATGAGACAGAAGGATCGTCTGAACCCAGGAGAGCGAGGCTGCGGTGAGCCATGATCATGCCACTGTCCTCAAAAAAATAAAATAAAAGAACAACAAAAAAATAAAGGAAAACAGGTGATTGCTTACATGTATAGTAGCTAATCTGATTTTTTAAAGTTCAGGGGGTACACAGGTTTGTTACTTGGTGTATTGCGTGATAGTGAGTTCTGGGCTTCTCTGAAGCCATCACCCCAATGGTGAGTCTGGTACCCCATAGGTGGTTTTCCAACCCTTATCCCCCTCCTTTCCTCCCTCTAATCTGATTTTTACAGTGAGTCTGTGTTGTCTAATTAGAATATAAATCTACTTTGCGTTTGTGTCAAATAATTGGCACAAAGACAGAAGATGTCACAAGTTGATTGTGGACAGATCCTTATAACAAAAACTGACATTTTTTTTTTCAGGACCTCCTAGCACTTCCTCGCCATGAAACCTGGTTCTCTCCTTCATCTGGTTTTGGGGAGTCCTGCTCTCCCCCAAAAGGCTTTGCATTTCCCTTTACAGCATTCCCACCTCCTTCTCTCTTTTAAAACCTTGTTTCAGAGAAATTGCCTAGTAAATAATGAATGCTGCATATATCTGCCTCTCTCACGGCATAATTAAGGATAACCCATTGTGTACCTCTGAAATGACTGGGAACAAATGCTGTTTGCATCGATACCGCGTTAACATGGCTTAAACAAATCGCTCCATGTTAAGTGACTCTTCTATTGGAGACTTCAACCCCCCCACGAGAGCACAGTTGAAGAGGATTGTTGTAAGAATGACCAAGTAATTATGGCACTTTAGTCAAAGATACTTTGGTAACTGTGAAACACAAAGGTTTATTGTTACCAGGAATGTTTAGTCCGTGTTTTACATTAAATCCAATGTTTCATTTTCCATCTCAACGCCTCTTCCAGGGCAGGTTCAGACTGCCCAAGGACAGGGCTTTTCCTTGGTTCCGACCTTGGTGGTGTCTTGCTAGGTTGCATCATGGAGAGAATGAGAACAGTTGGATTGAAATGCATGCTCTGACCGGTCAAATGTCCTTACAGATCTCTGGTCCACCGCAGACTACACAAGCAGCCAGAACAGGCCTGGAGCCAGCCCAGGTGAGAACCCAAACTCCCTTTCTAGCTACTGATGGACATTCAGCTTGTTTACACAGAGTTCATCTTTTGAAGTCCTTGCCATTTGAATCAAATTTGGACAGAGAGCATTAAACCAGGGAGGCCAACAGAAGATACCACTCAAGGGCCCAATTTGTAAGGAGAGAAAGGAAGTCATTCAGTAAGCAAAGCCTTTCCCAGTTCCTCCTTCCCTTGAGGCTTTTCATGAAGGTTACAATAGAAATTCCTAAGGATTCAAAACCTGACTTTTATAACCTGCAAAGGGACACTCTTTGGAGGTTATTCTTGAGGAACTAGGGTAAAAGAGTCAGAAAAATTTTTAGTATGTCCCAAGAATGGGCTTTTTTGGGGTACTTAGAACACAGGAAATAGAAATACATTCCCTCTCCTTGGGAATTTGCCTATGATTTCTGACACCTCCTGGCTTTCTTCGCTTCTTTGTGCCCCCTTCTTTGACCCAAGAACTGGGAATCCAGCAAATTTCATTCTCTGGAATGCTGTGAAGGCTTGCAGAGATTAGAAAGAAAAATCGGTGACCAGTGTGGTGGCTCATGTCTGTAATCCCAGCATTTTGGGAAGCTGAGGCAGTGGGGGGAAGGCTGCTAGAGCCCACTAGTCTAGGCAATGCAGCAAGATCTGTTGCTACAAAATAAGTTTTTTTTAATTAGCTGGATGTGGTGGTGCATGCCTGTAGTCCCAACTACTTGGGAGACCGAGGCAGACACATCACCTGAGCCTAGGAGGTCAAAGCTGTGATGAGCTGTGATCACGGCACTACACTCCAGTCTGGGTGACAGAATGAGAAAGAAAGAAAGAAAGAAAGAGAGAGAGAGAGAGAGAGAGAGAAAGGAAGGAAGGAAGGAAGGAAGGAAGGAAGGAAGGAAGGAAGGAAGGAAGGAAGGAAGGAAGG